TTTTTTTATTCATTTTCTAATTATATTCGACCTAGCACCGAATGCGGAGCTCACGATGAAGCCAGCCGTTCCGCCACGACCCACCAAGGCCGAGAAGGACAAAAGCATTTTGGTCGAGAATCCGGTGTTCGAAGCTAATCCGGCTGAAATCTCGGATGTATAAAATCGTGAAAATTTTTTTTGAACATTTAGCGTTTTTTGCCTTTCCTACCATCCCGGAAACCCCTAAAAATTGTGATATTCAGAGAGTCCTATAGTTAAACTACTTATTCATCAAACCTATCATATCATCTACAAATTCACTTGAGCATTAGGCTGCATATTATGTCATGCATTTGTCCAAAGTTCCCAATATTTCCGCCTTGTTTCATGTGTATCAAACAACAAATAGTGCCTGAAGATGCATGTTGCTCACGTCGAAAGTCAGTTTCACTTTGTTTCGCAAGAACTATGACGTTATGTTAATTTATATATGAATGTTTTGCTATGCAGCAGTGTATTTGCGGTCCTGCCGCTGGGTCCTGTCACGGAGTGCAGACGCGTGCCTTGCTGCCTCCGCTCACCGTTGTGTCCTCCCTTTGTTTATTTATGCTCTAGTGATTCGCGTGCATGTTGTGTAGTACTGTTGTGTGTGTATGCTCCGATGAGCACGGTTGTCCATTCCAGACGAGTATGATAAAGATTTCTAAAATTTAAGCTATGTTCCTTTTGTTTTATGGAATTTGCACGAAGCTTGGGGAGAGTAAGGCGGGACAGTGAAAAATACCTTTATTTTCAGGTAATCAGTCTACGTAGAGTTTTATAGCGATTATCAAGTGTTTATTTGAAAGCTTTACTATTTACTTCAATAGCATAAAAGTCCATTTTACCAAGTTTTGGATCTGTGCGGCACATGGTGCATCACGCGACTTCGCAATGATTTCTCCAAAGAAGCTTTTTCAACAGTCCAGCAACATCATGTTCGTAGTACGTGAGCAACGTTTTGGACAAGCAAATATCACCATTCCCAACATTGTGCGAGCGCCATAAGAGCTGTGTTCGACTTGGCCTGATTGAGAATGAGCTATTAAAGCTATCAATATTGGGTTGGGTCATCCCCAAAAATTCCGCTTCTTGAGCGCCACATCTCGAACA